AGGGAGGATGGGGATCAGGTCTTGGGAGGGAGCGGAGGAGGAGGCAAGGAGGAAGAGGATCATGGTTCAGGGTCATCGGAACGGGTGGTGATCAAGTGATTTGATTGGAGGGGGTGGGGGTAGTGAATCCCTTCCCTCGTCATGTCGCTCACTTTCATGCTGTCTGCGGAGCGCAGGGGCGAGACAGGGAGAGGAGGGGAGGGGAGGGGAGAGCAGAGGAGGGGAGAGCAGAGGAGAGGAGAGCAGAGGAGGGGAGAGGAGATGGCAGGACAGGACAGGACAGGGGAGACAAGATTAGATGAGACAAGGGCAAGTGTGCAAAGGATAGGAGAGGAGTATTGCAGTACAGCAGGAACTGAAACGACTTCGAGCAATCTTATTCATCTCCTCGAAGACGAAGCTTCCCCTGGTGCAGCCCGAGTCTCTGACTTCTTTCACTTCCCCGCACACTGCGAGGAGGAGGAGGCTCCACACAGACACGAAAATTCCAACCAGGAGGAAGGCAGCGGGAACCGTCCTGTCGTCTCTCCTCACCATCGGTGGTTTCAAACAGTTCTGATCGGCCGAGGCAACGGTGAGCATGCGGAGCATGTCGAAGAAGCTCCCGACCGCCTCCCAGGGAGCGAGCAAGAGACTGTACAAGTCGGCGTGTGGATACCAGAGATGAAGTGAGTCAGGCAGGTAGCTTAAGGAGCTGACGTCATGGCAGCAGGTTGAAGGAGCTGTGCGACGATCGATCGTTCCTCCCGTCATGGAGGATCTCAGCAAGAGTGCGAGAGGCTGCGGAGGAAGCGATGAAGCTGAGGATGAGAGGATCGCAAGTTTGACCAGCCATTGCGTAAGGGGAACATGAAATTTACTAGATGCGCAGACAGGCGTCTGTGCTAGTGTACATATGCATCATGTGAGGAAGGGGAGTGAAGGAGGAACTCGACCTGCTCCCTCCTCTCCTGCCATCTCAAGAACCCACTAGGGGTCGAGACATCCTCTGGGAGTACAAGCATGGCCAAAGGAATACCTATCGTCAGTCTCCTCGTATACTCCCGGCTCCTGTCCTTCATCCCCCACGTGGACACCTTTCGCCTCGTCCTCCTCCTCCTCGATGTCTCCTCGATCTTCTTTCCCTCCCCTCTCTTCCGTCTTGTCGGCACCTCGGGCCTCGACCACTATGTGGCGCAGAAGTTCAACCTGCGGAGGGTCAGGAGAGAGGACGAGGACGAGGACGAGGACGAGGACGAGGACGAGGACGAGGACGAGGACGAGGACGAGGACGAGGACGAGGACGAGGACGAGGACGAGGACGAGGACGAGGACGAGGACGTCACCTTGAAGATCCGCCCGAGGGAGTCGGACAGGGTCAGCTCAACGACTGAGTTGAGGGGGCCAGCGAGTTTGTCCTGGAGGTCGGAGGGGCTGAGGAACTGCACGAGGGAGCCGTTGACGAGGAGGAGGAGGTCGCCGATCTTGATCTCCTCGTTGTCGTAGAGCAGAGAGCAGCAAGACTCGCCGTTGCGGTCCCGGATGTCGTAGAGGTCCGTCACCCGGTAGGGCATCGACCAACTCAGTTTCAGGCCCACAAGAGCAAGCTCATCCTGCCTCCTGGTCGCCTCCTCTCCCTCGCCCCCGCTCGTCCCCTCGCTCCACTGCTCCTCCATGAGAACCGGGATCTGGTCGAGGAGGAAGAAGAAGGACTGGCTGAGATGTTCGACCTCCTGCTGCAGCAGCGCAAACTGATGCTTCCTCCTCTGCTCCTGCAAGCCTCCTTCCTCTGCGAACAGACCCACGTCCACCACAACCTCCCTCTTCTCCTCCTGCACTTGTCGCGTCAGCCTGAAGTTGCGACGGTACTGTTCGAACACTCCCTCTAGCGTGTCGCAGCTCTTCGTCCGTCCCCTCCGCTTGCTTCTGTGTAGCCTCCTCCTGAAGATGAACGGGAAGACTAGGATGTGGATGGCGGAGGAGAGCAAGGCGAGGAAGAGGAGGGCATCAAGAGAGCTTGCTCGTGCTGCTCTCGTGTCCAACAAGGCTGCTGGCCTCTTTGACACCTCGGCAACTCCGGCAGCCAACAGCAGGATGCCGTCCCTGGAGCAGGCGCAGGAGGCTTCGACGCCGACCTCCGTCCGCTCAATCCCCATCAGCTCGCAGTCGCTGCTGCTCCAGTCTCCTTCGCTCCACAGCAAGCAAACAATCTGTTGGGTCTCGTTGACCCCCCCCGTTTGCTGCCGCACCCGCACATTGAAGCATCTTCCTCCTCCTGGACACGTGGCAGGGCCCGGCAGGAAGCGGAAAACGGAAGCTCGAGCAGAAAGGACGGCGAGCCCTGGTAGCAACTTGTCGACGCTCCATACGAATCGGAGACTGGCGAGGAGGAGCGATCCTAACGGCACTTGGACACTGGAGGATCTGCGGAGAGAGGAGAGAGTAGAGGAGGAGATGGTGCAAGAGAGGTCGAGCAGCAGTGAAACCTCTGTGAATGGCTGCGGGGAGGCAACGATGGTGAGATCGAGCGAGTTGCCCTGGTAGAGGAAGGGACGCTCGGACGAGACCATGGCAGTAGCGTACGAGGAGGAGAGGGAGAGCACCGTGGTGACAGATTGTGACTTGATGGTGTCCGCAAGGGAGACGAGGAGGGAGGGAGAAGTTTGGAGGATGTTGTCGAGAAGGCTGACCGAGCTGACCATCCCTCCTCCCCTCAGCTGGTCCGCGTCCAACTGCTGGACCGTCGAGTTTGCCAGCTGCTGGAGGCTCAGGATCCCGTCGGGCTGCAGCTCAGTTGGGCTGCTGGAGAGGCTCAAGGAGGAGGAAAGGACCTGGCCAGCTGTCTGGGGTGAGAGCGACTCTTCCACTCCTCCTCCCGACATCTTCTTGAGCAAGACGCTCCTCACCCGCATCCTGTACGCCAGCGATGAAGCAAGTAGCGCCCGACTGCTGCTCCTCCTCCGCCCCCCGTCCAGCTGGTCGGAGACGCTGGTGGTCAGCTGCAGGATCTGATCGACTTGGTTGAGGTCGGCCATCTCTCCGAAGGCTCCCTCCAGCACCGCAAACGTTCCATCCTCCGTGGTCGACCCGCCGTCGGTGACGAGCAGACTGAGGGGGGAGGAAAGGGAAGACGCCCCCAAGCTGTTGGTGACGAGCACAGCAGCCTGGTAGGACCCTTGCTCGCTCCTCAAGAAGTAGCTCGGAGAAGACAGAGCCCCAGACCACACTGCAGAAGAGGAAGGGAACGAGGAGGAGGAGGAGGAGGAGGAGGAGGAGGAGGAGGAGGAGGAGGAGGAGGAGTTCCAGTCAGTGGGGCTAAGGCCAAACTGATAGAGGAGGGGGAGATCTTGGGATGTCCATTCCTGGCAGAGGAAGACGAACTCGGTCTGCAGCGCGACTCCTTCCGTCGGCTTGATGCTGCAGGTCCCTCCACTAGGCGGGAAGCTCTTGTAGAGGAGGATGGACGACTTGCCTGCTGTCCCAGCGCTCTTGCTGGTCACCGTGAGGGTGAGAGTGTACCTGCCGGGGAGGAGGTTCGGGTCGCGGAGGAAGAGAGAGAACTGAGGAGAAGCGGTGGCGGCAGGGAGCGACTGCGAGGACAGGGCAGGGAGGACATCCTTCCCCTCCCCGTCCAGCAGCGACCAGGCGAAGTTGATGTCAGCTTGGGAGGAGCTGCCAGCGACGGACACCCACGAGAGCGTCTGGGAGAGGAGGAGAACGTTGGCGTCGATCACTGCGTCCTCCGACAGCGTCAGCACGACGGAGTCCTGGTCGAACCTCTCGCCCTTGATCATCAGCAGGCGAATGCGAACAAAACTGACACCGTCTAGCAGCATGCTCCGAACATCTGCGAAGTATGCCGTCAGCCCTTCCTGCTCCTCCTCTGCCCCCTGCGCAGCTCCTGCCCTTGCTTCTCCTCTATGAGTTCCTTCCTTCCCCCCTCTCACCTAGACTGAAGGTCTTGGCAGCTCCGATGGCGACGACTGGAGCTCCGGAAGAGAAGCGACAGGCGGAGTCATCTTGGAGCACGCAGCTCCACTGGTAGAGCTCCGTCTGCGAGCAAGTGGGGTCCCCGATGCAGTCAGGATCGTAGGAGAGAGAGCCGTCGAGGAGGAGGCGGGAGGAGCGGGAGACGGTCTTGTTGCCTCCGGAGATGCTGGCGCGGAGGCTCGAGGCCTGCATGGTGAGAGTCTTGAAGACTGTAAGAGTGTCGGAGGAGGAGCGGGAGGAGAGAGTCACTTGATACGTCCTGCTGGCCTTGAAGGAGCCAGGGGAGATGAAAAGTATCGGCCCCTTCCTCTGCAGAGTCACTTGCCCGCTGCTACCATCCCTGACGATCCAGTCGAAGGCAAGAGCTGACTTGCTGATGACGCAGGACGAGAACTTGGCGGTGGCCTTGAGGACGAGCTGGAGGGAAGGGACGTAGGGAGGAGGAGGCATCGCGATGTCGATGATGGGAGGAGGGATGCTCTTCCTGACAAGTTCGTGCGCCACTTGTTGAGAGGTTCCTCCCAGGAAGCTGCGAGCTCTGACCTGGAGAATGTAGGTCACTTCGGGGAGGAGGAGGGAGCCAGGGAGGACGATGTAGCTGCCTCGCTCCCCTGCCACCAGCTCGTTGACTGTCTGGTTTGTGTCGCAGCTCCAGGAGAAGTCCAGCGGACGAGGGGAAGGAGCCGAGGCAGACAGCACAGCCTCGTCGCACTCCCCCACGAAGTTGGGGCCGAGGACGCTGAGCTGGGGAGCCGCTGGGGAGGAAGGTGGAAGGACAATGACGTCCTGCTCCCCGTTGAGGCTGCTGACCCCGTTGAGGGACCTCAGTTGGCCTCCCAGCACTCGAACTTGATCCCCCGGCAGCAGCTGCGCGTTGGACCCGAGGACGAGGAGGAGAGAGGAGCTGTCGGAGAAGGAGCAGCGAGGGGCCACGCCCATGCTCTCGACAACGACAAGGAGGAGAGAGCAGGTGAGGTCTCCGAGCTGCGCGTTGGTGGGCTGGTCGAAGGCGAGCAAGAGACTTGCTCCCTGCTCGTCGAAGGTTGCCTGGAGGACGCGAGGAGCGTTGAAGTAGCTCAACGTCAGTGGGGCTACCTTGCTGGGGTCCGTGGTCGAGGCAATCGTGAGCTGAGAATTCCAGCTGGGGTCGAGCCGAGTTGGGTCAGGAGAAACGAGGAAGCGAAGAAGGAGAAGGTTGCTCTGAGAGGAGGAGGAGAGAAGTTGGAAAGGCGTGGCGTTGCCTCTGAGCTGGAGGGTAGCTGGCTTCGCGTCCGGAGGAAAGCCTCGCAGCTGGAGCAGGAGCTCAGTCTCCAGCTGGTTGCTGACTGCACAGAGAGGGGAGCAGGTGAGGGTCACGGAAGGGTCGAAGGATCGCACTGTGAGCGAAGCCGTCTCGTTCCTATCCACGTTGCTGACCACCAGCTTGTCCTCGCCTGCCTGGTGCTGCGGGACTTGGAGGATGAACGCCATGCCTGCGGCAAGGTAAGCAGAGGAGGCGAGGAGGAGGAGCAGGTCAGACCCTTGTCGTCGGAGAAGAGGAGAGACAGAGGAGTGAGAGGAACCGAGCCAAGGGAGAGCTGGAGAGCGGTGAGCGAGGAGACGGGAGTGAAGTCAGATAGGAAGACAGTCGCCCTGACGGTCTTGGAGCTGTCGAGAGAAGCAGGGACGATCCTAAGGATGGAGGGCGGGGGGATCTGAACGAGGATGGGGAAGGAGACAGCGAAGGAGGAGGAGGGCATGCCTCCCGGGACCAGCAAAGGCGTCAGGGAGCAGAAGAGGTTTGACACACGCGGAGTCTCGAGGATGCGAAGCTCAACGACGAGGAGGTCGAGGCTGATGCCTGACACCTGAAAGGCGATCAGAGGCAGACGACAAGAGGGGGAGCGAGAGGAGCGAGAGGAGGGAGCGACCGCGGATGAGAGGGGGGGAGGGGCGTCACTGACCCTTGAGAGGATGGTAACAGCAAACTCGCTGTTTCCCCATGCTCGAAGCTGCATGGAGCGATTGAGCATCAGAGTCGAAGGAGGGGAGGAGACAGTCACTGTCATGCTGCATTCCTGCATCGCTCTGCACATGCTACCGTCCACCGCCAGGCTCTCTACCCAAGGACGCCGCAGGTAGGTTAGCGACACTCCCAGCTGTGTCCTCCTGCCCTGGCACTCCATGGCGAGAGGAGCGATGAGCGTCAGGTTGCTGGGAGGAGCAAGACCTGAGAGCGTCTGCATGACCTCCCCCTCGGCTGTGAAGGTGAACCCGCCAGCTCGAGCGTCTCCGAAGAGGAGGAAGCAGGAGCTCAGAAAGTCAGCGGGGAAGCTGAAGGTGACTGAGACTGGAGAGCCCTCGAGGAAGGAGGCGGAAGGGAACAGGATTGCGCTGGCTGGCAGAACGTCATACGTGAAGCGGCCCAGCACTCGCCCGCTCGTGGGATCGAGGAGACTTGCCAGGTATCGCCCAGGAAGATCAGGAGGAGAGCAGCTGACGGAAAGCAAGGAGGAGGAGGTGTTCTTGCGAACCTGGACGGTGTGACCAGGAGCGAACTGAACGAGAAGCGTCGAGGGGAGGAGAGCGAGAGACGAGAGGTTCAGGGAGAGCACCGAACCTCCAGCGAGGCTGCAACTTGAGGGCGTCACTGACAGCAGCATCTCAGCTTCCGTCGTCTCCGGGACAGAGACGGAAGTTGACGAAGGCTGGGGAGTCGAGGAGACGAAAGTTGCTCTGGTGGTGAGAGGAGGCGACGTAGTCCTGGTTGCAGCTGTATCTCTTGCAGCAGTCGGACTCGTTGCAGTCGAAGTTTTAGATGTCGGAGCTGGAGTAGTAGTTGAAGTTGTCGGAGCTGGAGTAGTAGTGGAAGTTGTCGGAGCTGGGGTAGTAGTTGAAGTTGTCGGAGCTGGAGTAGTAGTTGAAGTTGTCGGAGCTCGAGTAGTAGTTGTCGTTCTTGCTGTACTTGTAGTGACAGGGGAAGGGGCTTGCGGATCGCACAGAAAACAATCTCCGTACACCAAGACTTCGCACATCGACAGGATCTTGTTGTTTCCTACCAGGTCGACGAAGAGATACCGGCCCTCTCCCTCGCATGACTCCGCGTAGTAGGTGCTGGAAACCTTCGACTGATCCTGGTAGCAGACAGGATTTTCCTGTAGAACCAGCGAGTCTCCGAGTCGAACTTGGAAGCCGACGATCCTGTTAGAGCAGCAGTCTGCTCGGTTCCAGATAACCACGGACGAAACCCTCCTCCTCCCCCCCATGTCCAGCATCCACCAGGGGTCCGTCTGCATTTCAGTGTGCGAGCAGGATCCGGAGAAGAAGTTGGTCTTGATCACTCCGTCGTTGCTCCTGGAAGCCTCTGCCCCCGCTGCCACCGACGACTGACTCGTGCTGCATGCCGAGCTGTAGTCGTTGCCGCACGAGCGAGCAAGGTTCACCTGTCCTCCTGCGCACGCGCTGCAGGTTGCGCTTCCTCTCGTGGTTACCTCCTTCCTCCTCAGTGCCTCGGAGTTGTTCGTCCGGACAGTTTGAGGGGGAGGTGAGACCTGGAGCGAGCAGGAGGCGTTGATGAAGTTGCGGCATTCCTCTCCCTCCGGACAGAAACCGGTCGGGTTCGAGCCTCCTACTCCTTCCTCCGCCCAAAGGTAAAGCTCTTCCTCCTTGTCCTCTTCCTGCCTCCCCTCCTGACCTCGCATGCTCTCACCAGCCACCAGCTTTCCGTCCAGTTGAACCGTGATGTACTTGGATGGTATGTGAAGCAGCAGCTGCAGAGTGACTGAGCCCGAGCATGAAGACGATGCTTCCTCCGAGACCACGATCCTCCTTGCGCACGTCTGACAGTCTCCTCGACCCATCCTGACATGGAAAGCTCTCCTCCCCTCTGACGTGGTCGAAATATGCACGGCTGAGCCAGGAGAGCCCTGGACGAAGACTGTTCCGCTGGATGACGAGCATGGGACCGCACAGGTGAGTTTGACGGTGAGGTCCAGCGAGAGTTGGGTGGACGCGGCTGAGGCGCAGAAGCAGGTCAGCAGGAACAGGCAGATGAATAAATCGCATCCTAGGGAACACAACATCTCTCTCTCACTGTTGCGATTGAAAGCCGCTGATCAAGACATGTTCCCAGTAGAAGAAGCAAACCCACTTTCATCGTAACGACAATGCATGGGAATCGAAAATCCTATAAGAGAAGATTGTTAGGTGGAGGTAAAACCTGCCATGTGCAGCATAATAAACACAAACACGAACGCATGTGCAAAGAATTGCTGCAAAGAAACTGAAAGACACTGACAGCTGGCCTGAGCACGACCAGAAGTCGAGGAGACTACCATGATGAAAGAAACAAGAACAAGAAGCAAGACTCCTCTCGAACGAGCGGGAGGAGAGGAGCGTGCATGGTACCAGATATTCTGCTGGCGTAAACCCATATCCATATCAGACCTGCTTTTTTAAAAGATAACTGACTTGACCTGCTTTTTTAAGATGAGTGGGTGGGGTGGTAAAGCTGTGTACCCTACCTCCCAAATGGATAAATTTTAGGGTAATATAGCCGGTATATTGGCTTCCCCGACCTCCGAAGGTACCCACCCCTCTCCTTACCACACAAAGTACACAAAATTCCGGAGATCACTTCACCGTCCGATCAGTTCCGACGCCGACTGGGCCCCCCTCAGTAGTTTGTAATTACAGGCAACACCGTGACATCGTGCTAGTGAGCGCAAAACCATGCTGGGTTTTGGGCGCATGGGTTGCAGCGCAATGCGCATGAAGGTGAGAAGATGACGAGAGGAGGGAGGGAAGAAGAAGAAATAAAAGTGACAGGGGGAGGAGGAAGAGGAGGATACGTTATAAGAGGAAGAGGAACAGGAAGAGAAAGTAGAAGAGGAAGAGGTGGATGGAACGGAAATCAGGATTAAGGGTAGGAAAACAAGAGCCGTACGAGGATACGACGATGTTAGCGGGAAAAGTGGAGGGAACAAAACTTACAAGGAACACAACTGGGGGACCCTCCCAAGGAACGCCGTTCTTCCAGTAGTCGTAGATGGAGTGATAATTGATGGCGAAGCATGTAGAAGTAGAAAAGTCTGGTCGAATCAACCAAGTGTGTCAGGGGAGTCAGCGTGGAGAAGATGCTAGACAGTGGAACCAGGTACACGTATGAATGCAGTTTGAAGGAGTTGTTGAATCATTGTCCTGAGAACGCATTGATGAATCGATGTAGAGCATGCACTTGCATTGCAATAATCCTGATGACCAGACCCGGCTATTTGGACACCGTTCCTTCTCAGAAGCGAACCGAGCCCTGAGGGATAGACGATCTTTGATCCTCGCCTCCAAACTTCCGAGGTAGGACAAAGAATGAGAGCGTCCTTGTCTCTCACAGGCTGATGCAGTGCTGAACAACGTGTGAGCAAGGACGAACTGAGGAAAATGTGTCAGACGCTGAGCCTCCCGGTCACGGGTGATATATATGCTCTTGGTGACGTAGGTTTGATAGGAGTGCAGGGAACAAACAGGAGCTGGTGGACAGAATCAGGAACAAGGACGTGGAGCTTGCTGCGGCGATCGATGCCTTGGAAAAGATGCCGAAGCAAGCGAGAAAGCGCCCGGCGAGGGAGGAGCGGGCTCTGAATGAGAGCGTACAAGGAGCGGAGCTTTCAGACTCGAAGCGAGCGATCGGGCGGGTAGTGAACCAATTCTACGATGCGCTTGAGGCTGGGGACATCAAGGCCATGATGAGATTATGGCGCAATGCAGACTACGTGAAGTACAGCCACGAGTCCAATAGGCTCGTGATGGGATACGATAAACTGCATGAGTTCTGGTTGACGGTGTTCGCTCACGTGGGCTGACTTGGTGGGCCGTGCATGCCTAACTGATGCTTGCAGAAACCTGACTGGCTCGACAAGTTTTCAGTGCAGGACATTCGGATAGGTGAGAAGAGGAGGAGATGACGAGTTTTAATTCATGATTGGCAGTGAGCAGCCAAGACTTTGGTTGGGTGACCTGTCTTGTGCGGTATGACAACGGATCAGGCAATGCATTCCTCTTTGCCATCATCCCCTCCCTCTTCATTCGTTTCATCCTTTTTGATTCCTTTGCGTTGCCTCCTCCAGTCAGCTGACTCGATCGCTACAGAGCTGGTTGACCTGCAAGCTCTGCATGTGGTGCGCAAGTACATGGTCGGTTATGTTTGAATGTGAGGGCTGTCACTGACGCTCTTCACCGAAGGATTCCCAGGAATGGCTGATAGAGAGCAGCGTCAACTACCGGCTAGCGATAGACAGAGTTAGGTGAACTCGGATGACGCAGTGAGACAGAGCGTTACAGCGGCGTGCTCCTACCCAGTAGCCTAAGCTGCCAGTGTAGTAATTCGACCGGTCACTGGGAAAAGCGATCGATGATCACCGCATTCAACACCGCCGATCCTCCGGCAGGCCCGGCAGTAGGGCCTCGCCGCTCTTAGTGAGCCTCCACTGATCATCAGATCCGAGCCTCGGACTCGGAGGCGGCCCGAGCGGACTCGTACTCCGCCGGAGAGGCTACCCGGTAGTAGGCTGAGGCCCCGGCGGCCCGGATCATCCCGAGTCCCGCCGCCGCCGACTCGGACTCCCGGGGGAGCCTCAGGCCTCCGAGGAGTCCGAGCCTGAGGGCACACGGCGCGTCCGGCCGCTGTGCGGGCCGGCCTGGGGCCCAGGTCCGAGGCAGAGGCAAGTTGTCGTCACACGCCGGGCCCAGGTCAGACTCAGTCACGGTAACACGCCGGGCCCGCCCCATGACTCCGAGGCTGGCTCGGATCCGGGCCGGCGTGATTCGAGGGCCCGGCAGCACTGATCGGATCGGACTCAGTGACTGTTGCCATGGGTTATACCAGGGGGTCATATTCCTGGTTACAGCAGGGGTAGGTGGGGTTTGCTGTGTTTCACTAGAGATGGAGAATAGGACTTGAGGGCTTAGCAGAGGCCCTAGCGAAGGCTGACAAAGGAAAGGAGCCTGTGCAAGAGAGGAAGAGGACGGGGGGGGGGGGGGGGGGGGGTGGGGGGGGGCCGGGTC